AAACCTGGTGGCTATTGGGGAAAAAGTTTAAAGCGCACACATGTATATGTATAATGGTCACTTCATGTTAAAAAGTACCCCTACATTTGTACAATCTCGCGGCCGGAACGCAATTGTAACAACTCCCACATCTATAAAACTCCAATTTTCAAAGTTTCTTCGGGATAGATGTTCAGAACTGCTTACCTCAAACCTCTGTTTGGAGAAGTTGGGAAAACTATAAGTTTCAGGGGATTAGTTTTAGAGCTTGCTTGCTGGGGGAATTATTACGCAGAAAGCTCTACTCTTTCTACTTCTCCTGCTCCTGCTACTGCTGCTTGTCCTCGTCCTCCTCCTTCTCCTTCTCCTACTCCGAATCCTAGTAATCCTCCTACTCATATTCATACTCATGGTTGCTGAATCTCATACTCATACTCATACGACAAATAATACTACTTTGTGACCATGATTTTCGCCATTCGTATTCATGGGGCCGCCAGGATGGAGATTGATAAATCAAGGCGGGGGGTCACTTATCGATGCGAAGTGAACATTACATGCTATGTCGGGTCTCTCCACACAGGGTAGCCCGCTGGGACCTTGGAGATACACGTGGACTACAAAGGGATTCTTGTGCTGAGGAATGTAGTCACTTCCCGCTATTAAAGAACCCCCCTTAAACATAAATAATACAGCCAGGGCCCTAAAAATTCCTCATGAGCATTTTTAAAGGGGCTGTACTACTTTTCAAAGGAGCCAGACCATGATGAAATAGGGAGTGTTTAGGAGGTCATTAGGGGGACATAATAGAAAATCCAAAGGAAATAGGGATCCCCTTGACATCCTAGGTGTGGTTGGTTTTCATATGGTTTTATATAGGATTCTAAATACAAGAACTGAATACGATTTTACATTCGATTTCAATTGATTCTAACAGGATTCTATTTCCATTTCAGTTGATTCTAAAAAGAATTTTGCTTAAATTTCAATTGATCTCAACAGTATTCTAATTGACTTTCAATTGATTTTAACGGTATTTTAGCTCGACCTCAACTGAATTTCTAAAAAAAACGCAATTGTTTCAATTGATTCTAACGGGATTTTAATTTGATTTCAACTGATTTAATTAAGTAATTTGCTGATTACTCCTTAATTAATTCGTCAACACAAAAAGGACTACACAGGGTCACGCGTGTGAAGCAGGCGCAGCCATAAAAATGTCTCTCTGTCTAAAAAGTATAGGCCTTGAAGATGTGCAAGTCATTCCTGCATATTGGTCTGAGATCTCGTTTGCTGGCTAAGACATGGTCGGTGGGAATGAATCCTCAACCGGTGACCGGGGGGTCGGACCCACAACCGGTGTTCAACATGACAAGCCAAAACATGCCAAGCCAAATGCATGACGAGCCAGGGGCATGCGCCTCGCTGGCACCAGGGGCCAATCCCGCGTTGGTAGAGGATTAGGGGCACGAAGCCACAACTGGAAGAAACCAGGGGCATTAAGCCGCGCTGGTGACCGGGGGCAAAACGCCACAACCGGTAGAAACCAGGAGCAAGAAGCCACGCTGGTAGTGAACCAGCGCTGAAAAAGCGAAAATCAGTAGCGCGCCTCATCTTGGCGCATAGGTTGTGAAGAACACCTTGGTAAAAGCCCGCCCCGTCTTGGCGCATAGGTTGTAAAGAACAACCTTGGTAAAACTAGGAGTTTTCGTTGAATTCAAGGAAACCTTCACAACCTTGGTGAAGCCAAGGTCGTTTCATTAGTTTTGAGCCAAGGTTGTTCGTCGGTCTCGAGCTCTGAAACCTAAAAGACCTTGGTACAAACAAGGCTATTTGTGGGTGTTAAGGTTTGTATGCTTCAAACCCTGGGTAAAAACTCCGAAGCCTAGAAAACATGGGCATAACCATGTTCTTTAATTCCAGGACTTCTGATTTTCTTTACGTAAACCCCTTACTAAACAAGCTTCTATTTATGAAGGGTTTCTCAGGTCGTGGCTCCTTCCTGAACTTTCAACATACGTTCACCAATGAAAAGCTTTACCGAAAACTGGAACTCAGAGTATTTCCCTCGCCTACACCCCCCAAACATGTAGAGTAACGAAGAAAACCACAGGTCAATGATGGGCGTGCCATATATATGTATATAAACATGCTTAGAACCCCCTTACCCCTAAACCCATCTCCCTGAACCTCGCCCCAATCCAAAATTACTGTTATTGCTATTCGTATTCATACTGTGTAAACTCTCAGCCGGAAGTCATTCGGCATGAAACTTGGCGGTTGCTGCGCAGCTTGCATACCAGGGACCTTAGTTTCGGCTTGAGTTCGTGGTTTCTCAAAACAGGTGGCCCCGAATAGACGGGTTACAAGGGCGTGACCCCTAAACCCAAACCATAAACGCATCGCCATGTGAGCTATATTCTAAACTCCTAGCATCCCCCTTAATCAGCCCTATAATGCTCCCCCATCTAATTTCTATATAACCCCCTATATAGCCTCCTTTCAGGAATCTAGACTACAGTTCATGTGAGGGCTTCAGTTCGACAAAAACGCATGAGTTGAGGGCTTTGGGAGCAAGGTTACAGCTTGTTGGGGAACTCTAGGGGGTGTTACTAGATTGACACGGTAAATGGAAGAAATCTTGCACCACTCAAAAGCCCTAAATTCCTGTATTCATTTCTGTATGGGGCAGCAGCATTTAAGTAGGGCTTCAAGTAGCCGTAGCCCTTGACCCTGCGCATCGCCCAAAACACCCGCCAAACATGCCCAATCCTCAAACGTGCAAGAAACGAAAACAGTAAGCAGAATGCTGGGAATGGTCTAGTTGGAAGTAGGCGAGAAATGGCGAGAACTGGTGTTGGTATAAGGTCTATAGTTCTATGATAGTATACGTGCGAGGTCCCCCTGCTCCAAGTTCACCTACAACTTAACGGAGAGGAGCCAGTAACTGTTGAGCTGTTGAGTGGCAATGCTGATTGCAATCAGGATTAACCCATGAAACGCAGGCAGATGGCTCTACATACAACTTACACTACAAGAGCCTCAGGTACAGTGCAGGAGTGGATCCTTATCATCACCAACCTTACCTAAACCCTATGTTCTCTCACGCCATTAAGCCCGCAGCAAAACAAGCATGGTTACCTGGCAGCGGCTGACAACTCATGTGCTTCAGAGTGACTTGAGTACTCCGGACTCTACTCCTTGCCAACTAGAACCTGCCCTAGAACTGACCCGCGAAACCGCAAATATCCTAGGGGCTTGGGGTTCAGGGTTTAGGGTTGAATGCCCCCCCCGGTAACTTGTATGAGAATCTTACGCAATCAAAACTCGCGCTCAGTTGGGATCAGCGCCTGTACCAGCCGTCCCTACAATGTCCTGCATTAAGGCCGAGTCTCCTCAAACGTACCCACTTAGGCGACTGTGAGAATATGGCGGGGTAAATCTAACCCACGTGCCCTGAACCTGCATCTAGCATGCATTGGTTTAGGGGTAGGGCCTGCGCGACTTCATGGCAAACTCGCAAAAAATGCGTAAGTCCCTGAACCCTGCGCTTTGGAAAAGTAGATTTTCAAAGGCTTTGATTTCAACAGTACAGGATTCGAACCTTATCTCACAAAAGCCTCACACCCCAAATCCCTAAACCCCCGTGACACAAAATCTCAAACCCTAAACCCAAAGCCTAAACCAACCTTCTTCCGAGCACCCGGCGAAGCTTCCAGGGCCAGTGCCGAAGTTCGGTGCTGCTGAGGACCATTCAGAAGGTGGGGCCTGAGGTTATACGGGGTTTCGGGCTTATGGTGTAAAATCCGAATTGCTTCAGTACAGGATGTCAGTGAAATTTATGCAGCAACACATTTGGGACTGGGGTGATGCTGGGTCCCTGCACTCCCACCGCAGTTGTTATAGCTATTTGTGCCGGCTGGCTCCGGGAAACTTCCCCAGCTTCAGTTTGAATACTTCCCCTCTGCCTGGCCAGAACCGCACCGGTACAACTAAACTTAACATTGTAGACCAAGGTAATCTTTCTATGCCCCAGGAATTGCTGCGTTGGGGTTTCTAGATGTGTGGAGAAGTACAGTAGGTTGCAGGTCCTGCCCGGAACCCAAAACCGCCATGTTCAAGCCTTGGGGCTTAGTGTTTGCATTTAGGATTTAGGGTCACGGGTCCAAACTTGCCACCATCCAAAAGCCCCGGACCTTTAGACCCCCAAAATGTCAAATTCACAGCCCTGCAGCCTAAACATATATGTACTTGTCTCGTTTGGGAGCAGATGCCCATAGACCACCAAACTGGGCCTGACAGCCGGATTCCCACCAAGAACCCTGCTGGATTGGCTGTATCGCCATATGACAAATTTCCAGCAGCAGGGGGAACATAGATCATAGACCGCAACATGCTATGATCCATATACTGAAGGACTCCCAGAAGGATCAATCCGCTCTTGCGACAGCCCACATGAGCTACAGTCAATATTTCTAGATAATTAGTGGGTATGGGTTCCTTACTAGGGATTAGAATCATCTGCCCAAAGTACCCCAATGTCCACTATAAAGGGTCGATTAAAAAGGCGTATGCTGGCAGTATCTCATGTGAAATTCACCACGGTAAAACCACTGTAACCCAGACCCCTGATTCATAAACTCCCTCCCCTTCTTCGGGAATATAAAAGGGATCCTCATACTAAGGCCCTTAGAAGGAAGGGCTTTGTTAATCAGGGGTCTACAGTAGGCTGCCATGATGTGGGCCACGCCTACGGTCAAGCAAAACGTCACTTTTCCTAGCTGCTGGGTGCGCGGTCCCCCAACAAGGTTGAGAGTTTAGGGTTTGGGGCTATACATCCCAAACATGTAACAAAAAGATTGCGGTTGTTTACTGAGCTTCAGAGTTTTTGTAGCTGAGCAGATCCTTGAATCTCATGTTGTTCAACTAATTGTTCAATTCAAGCATGCAGTTCATGCAGCAACGTGCAGACATATCTGCCATTTGAGGAACCGTAGGTCCCATGCTACACCCCCCCTACCCCCCAAGCTAGATGGGTGGTTTCCCGAAATGGGGGTACCTTTTTTGGGGTGCTGTGCATCTGCAGTAACGTCATATGAGCTTGAGTCTGAACTCCCAGCATCCCCGTGACTGTAATAACCTGCAGAATAGTCCCCTATAAACCCCCATTAAAGAGTTTAGACTATAGCTCATGTCATCAGCGAATCTATAACCAAAAGGAGCAGATAATCATATGTATCCCTTTATTGGGTGCCTGTTAAGGGACTTAGATTGAATTACCAGAGTATGTGTATGCAGTAACTAATCAGGTTTCCTTACTATAGTGAAGTAATGTAAGTTCTTTAAGAGCAACCCAGCTTCAAAATTGCTAATCTCCTGGCATGGGAGGCCATGCCTCAACCCGGAGCTGCCCAGGCCCAAATCCTCCAGGATAAGCCTGGCTTTGTCAGCAAAACCATTGAGGTTTGGGTATGCCCTGGCTTGGAGTTGTAGGGTCTCCAATAATCGATACTTGGGACATAACGGACGGCAGCTAAAGGTTCTAGGCGGGTGCGGTGTAAGGTGTACATGTTATAACATGCTGTCCAGGAATTAAGGCGTATTAACGTTTGCTTCCATAAAAAGAGGTGCCCGTTATAGACTCCAATATACCGCAATCTTAATCAAGGGGGATTCCCAAAACCAGTACCGCTTGTTGTTTTAGGAAACCGCGAAAAATATCTTTGGACTCAAGGTTTCAAACATGGGGATAGGAAGGATCCTGTTCATCTTGCCTTTTGGTAGCTGGGAATGAAGGAATGGAAAAGAGAATGGAAACTACCATAATGGGTTATATAAACAGGGACTACTATAAGGATCCATTCCTTCCTTCCTAGCTAACCAAGGGTAAGTCATTTCCCTGGCCCCTTTGAGGGCGGGGCACTCTCGGTCTAGGGTGTGAGGGTTCGCTGGGTTCTCCGATGGAGAACCCTCATGACGGAAAAGGTTGCCTCGGCTACAGCCATTTTGACCTGAACAATGGGACACCGCATGCAAAAAAACATCACGTTCATTTTCGCTAGCTTCCGATCGCCAGAGCATCCATGCTCAAACCACAAAAAAGTTTATGCTTTAGAGTCTCTTGTTACCAGAGCATCCATGCCCAAACCATGATCACCTTCCTGTTCAAGAGCATCCCACTACCAAAGCCATGCTCAAACCCAAAAAATGTTGGAAATACCAAGAAGACTGCGCCCAGTGGGACGAACTCTATGTCCTAAACGGACTTGGAACGCAGAAAAAACAAGTGACTGACAGTCTTGCGCAACTTCGGCGACAGGTATGTTGAGGCGTAACACGCAGTATCTCGGGAAACCTCATGCAAAATCACTGCGTGTCCTATAAAGATACGTTAGGATGGAAAGACTCAAGCCGCTAAGTTGTTGCACAGTGCGGGCTTCTTCGTTCGAACCCAACCCATCGTCATCTTCCACTCAACCTCTTGCGAAGTTGTGTTCAGCAAAGCCCGCCACAGTCTCCTACGATAACCTTACCCAGAGAACTCCTGAGCACAAAGCCCCTTGCATATTACAATGTACCTAGACCGTCCATCTAACCGAAATATCCCCTATTAGGGATTGTACACACCTATTTAACCCTAAGAGTCCAAGTGCCCAAATATTGGGGCTCTAGGTACATTCAAGCCATATTATTTGGGCACCTGGACCCTTCGGATAGGGGTCCTGGTATTCTTCCTTCGTTGCCCGCTCTCAAATTCATTGGAAGTGTTTGGTTTCGGAGAGCCCTGGCCGTGAAGGTTTAGGGCTCAGTGTTTGGGTTTTAAGGTTCAGGGTTTAGGGTTTATTTAGCCCGATGTTTTCTGGGGCAATTTGAAGAAAACGCCTCTGAATGATGCCTTTTCTACCTTTGGGTTGCGAAAGGAGTAGCCCAATCTGGACCAGCCCCATGCTGAACGCCCCTGCTAGCACAAAACCCTACACAGCCAAAACACTAAATACTTGACTCTGGGCGCTCTGCAGGCGCTCCAAAGGGACTTTTTCATGTTAAAAATATGTCGCTATGTGGTACAGGCACTCACCTTCAAATCCCTAGGAGAAAAGCAGCAATGCGAACCCGCAGGATTGATGTTGTTGTGTGTGGGGGGGGGGGCTAGATGAGCCTTTGCGTGCCCAGGCTGCGTGAAACTCCTCAGAACTCTGCGGCCTCAATGCTCAAACTCGTTTGCAAAGCACACCAAACCACAAACACTATGAAAGTTTTCTCTGGTAGGTACTACGTCAACCAACCAGCTCTAATTCGGGTTCTTAGGGATTTGCTGCTGAGCTCAACTGGGGATTTCTTTGAAGATTACCAATGTTCGCTCGCTCTGGACACTGCAGGGATTCTGTCGGTAATTTTTCGGTGATTTCTAAAAAGATTCGAAACACCTTTGAAAAGTCCGCTCAAAATCCGCTGGAAAATCCGCGAGCTGCTAGAACCGCATGGGCGGACAAAATCCGCTGATGCGTATAAGATAAGAGTCCGACGACGCCACCACCCCACCGAATCCCAAGGTTCCTTTATACCCGATGTGCCCGAGCCCCATCACTTGCGGCAGCGTCCCCCTTGTTAGTGCATTCTACTGAGATCATCCTTGCTGCTGCTGCTGCTGTCCACAGCTGCTTTTCTCTTGGGCATGGCAGCTGCATAGTGGCAGCAGCATCAAACTGCATCAGTCAAAGGTCTAGATAATCACTCTGCACGGGCACAAAGAATCATTGTCGTCCACAATAACCTCCTGCACGCAACAAAAACTCAGAACACAAAAGTCAGCGAGAAATCCTCAGTGCAAGTTTTCAGCCCTAAGAAATACCATGGATGTTCCATTCCGCCACTAGGTAGGGCACCCTGAAACCTAGCAACTTAATCAGAGGCAAACAGAAAGCTGTCCTCTTTAAGCAAACACAATAAATGGGATCATCCTATTAAAAGCTCTCACAGCCAACTCCTCAAAAGTAGGGATACCCCGCCCCAACCCTAAACCCTAAACCCTAAACCCGAAGCCCAGAATCCCAAACTCTTATCCACCGCTAAAGCCTATGCTTTGATTTGTTTTACCCTAAGCCCGAGGTTTAGGGTTTAGGGTTTATGGGTTTAGGGGAACCGTAGGTCCGCTTTTGCTCCCAGATTTGCGGGCCTCAATCTTGAACCCTAATGCTGAGTCTCTAAGGATTCATATCCTCATATTCTATAACCCCTACATGACCCTGTACAACCTCTAACGTTATATGACCTGTATTTAAACCTGAAGGCTTCAGGTAGTTTTGAGCCTCAGGGTAAACAGGCTGACTTGACCCAACCTTAAACCCTAACCCCTACCCCCTAAACCACAAAAACCTATGCCCTAAACCCCTAAACCCTTAATGTTAAACCCTAACAGTTACCCCCCTGAAACCCCAAAAAAAACTCAACCCTAAACGCCTCTCTCTGTCTCTCCCTATACCCCTAAACCGTAAAAATGTTAAACCCTAAACCCTAAACGTGCCCGCAGCCCAGCCTGACTCTGCGCACCCAGCTGCGACGCTGCGTCCCCGCCCGGGAGCGCCTGGGCATTCCAGCGCTTTGGGGTATGGCTTCCTAAGGGTCCAAAAAACCCAAATAATATGGCTTGAGGGTATCATATACCCTTACCCGAAGGGTCCACGTACCCAAATGATGTGGCTTTAGGGTACCTCAAGCCCCAATATTTGGGTACTAGGACCCGTAGGGAAAGGATCCTAAGAACACATATGTATATACTTTAGATATACTTTAGATTTTGGGCGTCATTCTTGCTGGGTCTTTTCTGCAAGCTCAGCACATTCGCACTTTTGAAGTTCCTCTCTTCGTATTAAGGGGGGGGTGAGGAGAGGACAAGATAAGTAATATGTTAGGAGGACCCCCCCTGTAATAGTGACTATAAGGGATAATAAGGAATATATGAGGGTCCTATTGTATTCCTATTGTACCACTATTACAGGGTGGGGGGGTCCTCCTCAGGAATATGGGTTTAGGGTTTAGGGCTTATCAATGTATACTTCCCCTGTGACAAGCTTTAACAGGCTTACGTCATCTTACGTCCACACCTTAATGCAAAATGATAAGAACATTGTAATCCCAATAACCCTTATGTAAATATAGTCAAATATGCCCAAGCCACATTCGAAATCTTCAAGGCCCCCACATGACCGTAAACTCTGCGCACTGCTCGGGCTCAACCGCCCTAAGGCTTATTGAAATTGACCCCAAAATCCCTTTTGGGGGCGGGTGGGGTATTCTTTATTGCAGTCATGCACGGATAACAGGGGTATACCGGTGACGATTGTTCAGACTTCTGCATTGCACAACCCCTAAAAACTCTTGAGGGCGGCTAGCACTTCCAGTTATTTGTAGTCAGGCATTGGGGCCAAGGATTCAGAGGCTAAGGGTCAGTGAGGGGTTATGGGTTGGTGTCTTTGGGGTTTAGGGATTGAAGGGTTTTTGCACTTAAGGGTGGGGGTTTGGGAAGTTACGGATTGAGGAGCAGAGGACGGTCTTTGTGCAGTCCAGAAGCGCTAGGCTTCTGACGTTGAAGGGTGCAGGGTGCTTCACTCAGCCAGTCCATACAAGTATATGGTACATACTTAAGGCCCAAAGGTGCCCCCAAATAACTACTTCGAGGCCCAAGTATGTAATATATCATGTTATCATATAGCCTGCTACATGGATCCTTTAGGGCAGGGTGGTCCTAAAGTGTTCTGGAATGCCCTCACGTGTTAGTGATGTGCTTTTGGACCACTGGTGTCTGCCTGTGATAAGTGGGTGTTACGGGTAAAGAGGCCCTTAACTGCTGGAAGCAGATTGTTGGGCTGGCTTGCGGTGGGATCTCCAACGCAACCTGACGCACAATGGCTCTACTCCATGAAAACCCCTAAGGGTCCAAGTACCCCAATCATGAGGCTTTAGGTTACGTAAAACCCCATTATTTGGGTGCTTGGACCCTTAGGGAAAGGTCACCCAAACCAATCCATGAAAATTAACCCTAAACCCTAAACCCTAAACCCTAAGCCCTAAACCCTAAACCCTAAACATGTAAACCATAACCTCAGCATCCCACGCTCTAAGCCCTAAGGCCCTGGCTTGAAACTCCTGACTCCTGAAGCCTAAGCATTTGACCCTACCTAGATCCCCCAAGTACCCTCTATAGACCCTAGGTATCCCCAAATAGAAGCTACATAGACCCTATTTTAGGGTTCTTGGGGGGTCTAGGTAAGTCCTATACTTCCAAACCCTTGACCTAATTACTGGGGTTAAAGTGGGGAATAAGGGAATTTGTTGATGTGTTGTTCATCCACGCATGGCCGCATGGCTCTAGGTGGCTACGAATCACAGCCTTGGGCCAGAGCATGTGTTATGCAGTAAGTTTGGAAGAGCAACATCTAGCAGTTCACTGCTTGAAGAAAAAAGATCTCGTGCTGCGCGGTACGCCATGGACTCCACTCCCATGTATTTTGCCCCTGACACGGCAGATTCAGGTCCCTTGTATCTTCAGGGTATGAGCCCAAACGCTCTTGAGGGTGCAAGCCTGGTGAGTGGAAGGCCTATGTCTTTTGGGCCTCAGCAGATGCCGATCGGTTCCGGATCGACCGCTGCTCACGTTCCTGCTAGACAGCCTATGACTAACGGAGTGGCTCCCCAGGCAACTGGGCAAGGCTCTTCGCAACTGCATGGTACAGCTACCTCTTCTGGGCTGATGAGTGGTGCAGTTGGTGGTGTAGAGGGCGAGTCGTTTAACGGCGCTGTAACCGGACCGGCCGACGACGGCGTTGCACGTTTAAGGGTTGGGGGTAGGGTTGAGCAGGCAAGCGCACATCAGCCTACACCACCCACAACTAGCATGCCACTACAGCAGCCACCACATCCACCAAGCATCCAGCAACAGCAGCAGCAGCGTTTGCCGGCAATGACTACACCGACGCCTGCAGATGAGAGTCGAAGAATGGCGGGTCCTCAGCCCCAGACACCAGTGGATATGTCGCCAGGTGCTCGCCTTACTGTAGAAGCGCAAAGGGCTATGGCTCAGTTAGCTTCTCAGCGTACTGCGCTGGTACAAGCCCTTCAGACCAGAGCAACCAGGGCGGCTACACTGTACGAGGGTCACGCAGTCCAGGGTGATGATCAAAGAGATCCGGCTCAGGATGAGACATCCAATGAGGAGGTTGTTTGGTATTCCCGTTTGCATGGTTTCCTCCGTAGGCGTGTTGTGGAACCTGTACCAGAGCAAGTGGAGAATCTTAGACGAGCAACCCCTATAGCCTCTCCTCAATCTACATGGATGTCCGCCCCATCATCGCCCGAGCAAGTGCTTGATCCTGATGTCCGCCAGGCAATGGCACAGTGGACGGAGCGGAGGACATTCTCGATCGACCTTCTCAACAAGGCGAGGGGCTCTCAGAGAGTGCTGCGCAGGAAGAAGTCCGTAGGCAAGTACAGACAGCATTGCAGCGCAGAGATCAGCATGTGCAAGCTCTTCAGACGGAGAACATAGAGCTGAAGCAGATTGTGCATGAGTTGTTACAAGCAGGGTTGCCTTCAAGGGGAGCTGAAATAAGTCAAGGAAGGGACGGCCCAGGAGGGCCACAGGGCTTTGAACCCTGCGTCAACCCGAGTTGTGGCGGTCCAGTTCCTGATGATCGGCAAGGGGACTCTCGAAGGTTACCTGCGTTACCAGGTGTTGGAGCTCCAAGGGATCTAGGCAATCCCCATGAAGTAGAGCTACAACCTCGAAGGGATCTGGGCAATCCCCCTGAAACCTCCAAGGATCCGCATCCTCCTGGTCTATTTCCTCACTACGGACAAGAAGCTAGTAATCCAGTCACACTACCAGGACATGGATGCGGGCACCAAGGGGATCCCATGAGAGCTGTAGAATATCGTCAGCCAGAAGTGCAGGGGATGAGGCTACAGGCGCTAGACTCGGAGAAGGCAGTGAAGGAGCTGCAGGAAATTCTTTGAGGGCGACTGGTTTGGCCGTAGGCAGTGGAGAAGCTTCGGGGCATGGAGATCCAAGGTCCCAAGCTAGGACTCTGAAGGCTCCGAATGTCGCGACCGAGCATGGAGCAGTCCCTGTGGAATCAGCTGGCATTGGATCTGGTGATGTAGGAAATCCTTTGGACCTACTTGCAAGAGGGATCCAACAACTTCAAGAATTGCATCTTCGTAAGGAATCGCAAGACCCCGAGCTCCTGAAGGGGAACATCGGGATCCCGAAGCTTCCAGAGCCCTACCAGGAAGGAAGTGTTGTTGCCTTCTTGGAGTGGGTTTACGAGACTGGGCAAGTGGTGGGATCAATAACGGATCGTGCTGCGGTCTGGTGGGAGAGTAATCTGGCCCTGGCACTGCAAGCGCACAAAAGGTTCCAGCTGGAGTCACCTTTGAAGGTTGGGGAGGCGACGGGCGTGGACTAGCAAAAATGGTCGCGACTGGAGAAACGAGTCATGACGCTTCTGCTGCAGTCTATGCCTGGAACTATCAAGAACGAGATAACCATGCTGCGCATCTCTAAGGTCAAAGACTGCCTCTTCAAGCTGTACTCCATCTACGCTCCTGGAGGTGCTACTGAAAGGGCCAGTTTGATCAGGCAGCTTGAAACAATCCCTGCCCATGAGAGCGTGCTGACTTTGGCCTTGAGGAAGTGGAAGAAGCTTCTGGGCCGCGCGTCAGAGATGGGTGTTTCGTTGCCAGATGGGTCGGTCAAGTTTGTGGCTGTGGAGGCGGCAACTCGTAAAGTTGTGGAGGGGCATAAAGACATAGCCTTTAAGCTCAACATGGCCAAGCAGAACCTTCAGCTCCCTCATCTTCCTTTGGTGGCTTCCGTGCTAACGTATGTAGACCATATCCTGGCTGAGCTGCAGCAAGTGATCCCCTTGGGAAAGAATGATGTTATCAAGTTAAAGGGCCTTCAGTCTGATCCTAGCTCTCCTGCGTCCTCAGCCAACAGCCCTACAAGATCGGGTGGAGCAAAGAACGCCTGTAAGTACTTCCTCTCCGATGATGGATGTCGAAGAGGAGCCTTGCGCAAGTACTCCCACGACTTCGTGTCCAAGGATGAGAAGAGAAATCGTTGCTGGGACTGCGGCAGCACAAAGCATAGGCGTAAAGACTGCCCGGTGACAGCCAAGCAAAAGGGATCAAGGACTACAGCCACCTCTGTCCCTTAGAAGGCCGATGCTGTGCCGTCTGCCTCTGCCTCGAGCTCAACTATGCAGCCTCCACTTCTACTGGATATGCTACAGGAGGCAGCAGCTCCTAGGTCAGAAGCGCAGGCACTCCCAACGACAGAAACTACTTCCTCTGCGGCCTCAACAGTGCTTCTGAATGACACAAAGGAGAAAGATGTCCAGGACTTGCTGAGGGAAGCCAACGCTGTACTGAACAAGTTCGTGAAGCTACAGGCTTTGCAAGCTCAAACTAATGAGAGTGTGGGAGGGCTTGATGGCGTGATCCGCTCCATTGGGCTGGTGGATGGAGAGCGATCAGCTCTCCTGGACAGCGGTGCTTCCCATCCTTATAGAGCTCCTCGCGACA